CTGCAAAAAGGAAAAGCAAAGGAGGGGGACTATTCTTTGTCTCCAACAGGCCACAGCTGGGTAATCCAGCCCTGTAACCCTCTCCTCTAAGACGAAGACGTTCATTTCTGATAATTCCTCTTATATCAAATATGATGGGGGCCAGGGATTTAGCTCAGTGGTTCCGTTGCTTGCCTTGCAAGCACAAGGACCCGAGTTCGATCCCTGGTACCAAAAAAAAAAAACAACAAACAATCAAATATGATGGGAAGAAGATTTAATGGAATCAGACCGGGCTCTGTTCCCTCCTCGGGTGACCCTGAACAGGCCTCACTCTGCTGTTTCTCTCTCTGAAAATGTTGCACAGTCCAGGTCAGAGATATAGAGCTGTTCGTAAACCTTAAAGTGCTACCCAAACAGGCACCATAATGGCTAAGGGAGGGTTAAGAAGGGAAAGGTTGGACAGGCAAGGGGTGCTCGGGTAGAAGCCAGGGATGCCTACTTCAAAAAGGAAGGGCTAGCAGGGCATGATGGCCATACCTGTAATCCCAGCACTTGGAAGCCTGACACACGAGGATCACAAGTTCAAGGCCAGGCTGAATCACATAGTGAGACCCAAAACAACCAAGAACCAAACCAAAACAAAACAGCACAAAATGTTGTGATTCCATATCAAGGCATACTATGCAGCAGTGAAAATTACATCAGAGCTAAATCTGTAAACATTGGTTTAATTTCTCCAATGTGATGTTAGGTAAAACAAGCTACTGTGGAAGAATATAGAAAGTACAACAGCATTTAAATACCATTTTATAATGTAAAACAACACTACAAGTTGTTTAGACATAAACACATTTGTAATGAAATCATAAGAAATACATAAGAACAAAAAGACTAAACTCAGAACACTGTTTCTTTGAGGGGCCTGCGGGGGCGATCAGAAGAAGTTTCCAGTTTGTGGGAAATGTATAATCTCCTGAACGGGTGAGTGGGCGTGTCTGAAAGGCTCCTCTGAAAGGCTCCTCTGAAAGGCTCCCTTAGAGTCACTGGCTCCCGGGGAGAGCGCGTGAGGAGGAACAAGGGTATGGAGGCCCAGGTTCCCTGAGCAACGCAGGCCAGAGGCAGGTCCAGGGGGAGGAGCCTGCAGCCCAGGAGAGTGGGGCGGGCACTGCAGAGGGGCTGGAGCCCACAGCAAGCTCCTGATTCACGGGCACCCCACGCCCACCCTGGAAATACCAGCTCCGGCCTCCGAGCGGGACTCTGTGGCAACACCACTCCACTGCACCTGCCCACACCTGCACCTGCCCGAAGGGCCTCCCAGGTGCTGCTTGTCGCCAATCATCTGTTCCCATCCGAAGGTGACTGTCCCGGCAGGGTCAGAGGAAGACTTCCAAACGTGCTGCAGTGGCCGTCGTGGCCGCCGGTGTCTGTCTCCGGGGGTTGGGAGCCACACTCTGCAGAGTAGGGGCACTATCTTGTGTCTTTCTCTCCAACTCTCCCAAGAGCCTGAGGCCTCCTTGGGCAGATGGGCAGGAGGAGCAGGCACAGGACACTGGGAAGGGGCACAGTAAGGGCCAGTCTAGGGGCCAGGAAGCCAGGACCTGCTGCAGCCAATGAGAGAGCAGCCCAGTCCTGGGGTGGAAGAGGTGCCAGCCAGCCCAGTGCCTTCATCTCACTGCTGGGAAACCAAGGCCAGCAAAGAGCAAACCCTTGCTCTGGCTTTCCCAGGACGGCGGAGACACAGAATTGACCTGGTCTTACGGCGCTCCCCGTCCCTGTGGCTCTCACCACATTCCCTCGCCCCAAGTGGGCAGCTGAGCAATCCTGGGACAGCAGACAGCAGAAGGCCACCTGGACTGAGGAGGACTCACACAGAAAGACGTCTGCAACAACACTGGCGGGGGTCTGGGGTGTGGCTTGGGGCAGCGCGTGGGCCTGGCATGCCCGAGGCCCTGGGTTCAATCCCCGGCAGCAGAGAGAGAATGAATGTGCAGGGGAAGGGGCTGCCTTCCATGCGGAGCTCTTGTCCTGGACAGGGAGGCGAGCAGAAGGGAGCTCAATATGACTGAAAGAATTCGGACCACAATCCTGTCCTGAGTCCTTCCCACATCCGAGTTTCCACCACTCACACGGGGACAGCAGAGGACCCACCAGGGAGGACACTGCAGTGCGGGCCACAGAGGTGTGAGGCCAAGGCAGCCAGGACTCTGAGAAGCAGACCGTCCTCGCCACTCCTACCAAGACCCTTCCAACAACCTTATCCCAGCAGCACTGTTCCTCACGGGCCTGACACCTGCTCTCCTGGGGGACTCCCCGAATCCCCCCACTCCAGGAAACAGCAGGGGCCGGGGGCAGAGGCAGCACCCACTCAGGCCTGCGTCTGAGGTCTGCACGGACCTGCCCAGACCGGTGCAGCAGTGGTCAGCAACCAGGGCAGTCAGAGGCAGGCGACCTCCCTCTCTCCGGTGTGCAGCGATGCTCTCACCACTTCCCGGTGTTGCTAACAGGGAAACACAGACACCGGCACGCCGGGTGTCTCAGGGGTCTTTCCCAGCCCAGCCAGCCAGTCCCCTGACCCCGAGTCCTCTGCCCCATCCACCAAGGCCCAGAAGCAGCCCAGGCCGCACTCTGCACTCACGGCCTTTCTAGTCTTCCGCCTCCACAAGCCCCCGCCCCTGGTGCTGCCGCCGCACCCACCCAGCACGAGCTGGCTCACACCAGCCCCCGGGTAGCGTGCACAGCACCCTGCCCATCTCACGACGAGTTCCTGGAGGAAGCAGGGTCCTCATGTCCTGCACACTCTACTCAGCACCAGGCTCAGAGAACCACTGGCCACGGAGTCAGGACAATGCCCAAGCACTGGGGACAGCTGACTGGTTCTCCTCCTGCCTCCCCACGTCTAGGCCTCAGGTTCCCAATTATTCTAGTTTCTTCTCTTCTCCTTCGCTGAGCAAACCCAGCAGAACCTCACTCTGAACGCTCTTGAGCATCAGGGAAGGGTAAAGGGGTCCCTGCCCTCACCCTTACATTCCAGGCAGGGAAAGACAACACTGCAGCAGCCGAGAATTTCTGTAGATACCCGCCCTCGTTCACAAATAAATTTATTTCAGAGCAGGATGAACACATGAAAAATAAAACAGTAACATGACAGAAGTGAAAAAGGGGACTACTTTGCATAGAAAAGTCAGGGAAGGCCCCTCTGAGTAGGTGACAGCCGAGCTGAGACTTGACAGATAAGGCAAAACCAGCCACGGGAAGAGCCAGAGAAAGGTGTTCCAGGCCAGGGAATGGCAGTATGAAGGCCCCAGGGTGAGAATAAACTAGACTAGAAGGACGAATCGGGCCAACCCGGGGTGGCTCAATCACAGCAAGTGCACAGCAAAGCAGTCACCAGGGAAGGGGCTATCAGACAGCCTCCCACAGAGCTGCTGCGCTCAGTTAGGCCAGTCTGACCCGACCAGGACATCCGGCCCCCGAGTCACAGGCAGTGCTCGGTAAGGGTATGAGTCAGACCCCATGGCTTCCTGGGGCCCTAAAGGACCCAGTGTGGGCATCCAGGGCCAGGCACTAACCTTCAACCAAGCGCTACCCAGGCCTACAGAACACCCATGGGCAGGGGACCATGAGCAGGGTCACCAGGCATGGTCACTCAGAATGCAGGACACGCCCACCTTAGTTCCCAGAAGGGAATGGCAGAAGGCTTCCCTGAGCCACTGTTCTACAAAGACAGTAGCCCTGGTCAGTAAAAAGGAACAGGGCTCAAGGTCCAAGGCCCACTAGGCTTGGGCAAGTCTTCACCTCTCTGCACCTTACTTTCCTCATCTGAAAATTGAGACTATAGAGTGATGACATTAAATAAGAGATCGACTACAGAGCACTGGCTGGCCACCGGTCACAAATGTAAGCTACTGGTATTCTCATGATCTGCTTTTCCCTTGCTTTAGCTTGCTCTGCTGCAAAAGGGACAGTAATACAATATCACAGGGTTGCTGGAACTTTGAACTAAAAATACTCCGCCCTCCTAATACAACATCCACTGTCAGGAACCAACACCATTTTTTTTTTCTGAGAGTCCCTTTTTCTGACCGCTCAATCAGATGCCGAATTCCCCTCTACCACACCCCCATTGTTTGGAAAATGAGTAAGAGCTGATTAAATCCCGTTTTGACGTTACAGTGAAATAAAAATGATGTATCAGGAATCTACACATTTCCCTGCACTGTCATTCTGCAAGGGGGTGGGGCTGGACGCTGCCCATTCTGCATCATCGACAAAAGTCCCTCCCTCCCCTCACCGGGGTCTCACCCAGCTGCGCATAGAACGCACTCATCTCCGGCGCCTCATCACACACTGCACGCCAAAGTCCTCCCCGCTACTCTCACCCGTGTAAGAACCCCAACCCCAAAATCACTCCCGGAAGGGCACTGCAGCCACCCTGCACACCAAGGTCCCCAACACCGCAGAACACGTTCAACACCAACAGTGCACCAGGGCCTCTGGAGCCACACGCCTGAGTTCAAATCCCGACCTCGCTGCTCACGAGCTGTGTGAACCGAATCTCCCAGGGCTCCGCTTCCTAAACTGTAAACGGCCATAAGAACAGACGCAACCATGAAGCGAGAGCTTAACCTACACGACGTAAAGCGTTCAGCACAACATCTGGGAACGCCCAGTAGGAGTTACCATTATATTCCTCCTCGTTAAGTGCACACTGGTTGCAAAACTTGGCGAAACTACCGCCGCCGCGCAGGCCACCGTCTCCACCCCGTAAACAACTCCGCAGCCGCCGCGCCGCGCCCCCTGCCCACGCTGTCCACGGCCCGCGCCCCTCGCAGTGCGCACGCGCGCCCCCTACCACGCGCGGCCGGGAGACGCCCGGGCCTGAGACCCCGGCCCGCGCCCTCCCGGGCCTCCCCGCCTCCCCGCCTCCCCGCCCAGTCACCGCCGCGGCCCTCAGCGACCCCCGCCGGCCTCGCCGGCTCCCCCTCCGGCCCGTCCCCGAGGCGGCCCGGCCGGCTTACTTGAGGACGAGGGGCTGGGGGAGAGAGACGCGGCAGCGGCCCGGGCCGGGGTCCTTCCCACAGCGCTCTCTGGACGCCGGGGAAGGGGGGACGCGGCGAAGGACGAGGAAGTGCCGGGGCCAGGCAGCCCCGCCTCCGGGAAAGTCCCCGCTGACTGACAGCCCGCTCAGCCAATCGCGCCGCGCGCTGAGGGCGGCTCGACCGCGGGGGCCGGGACCGCGCGGGGTAAACAGCAGCGGCCGGTTGGTCCCGGTGCCCCTGCGCGGGCTCCTCGGACACGGTGCCGCCGACCGTCCCCCAGCGCAGGGATTTCGGGGCGGGGGGCTTGCCGAAAGACGCCAAAGCTTGCGTGCCCAGGCGAGCGGCAGCCGGCCGCGGGGCTCCGTCCCGGGAGACCCCTTAGAGATGCCCGCGGGTGCTACTTTCTTCCCCTCACTCACTGTTCCAGACCTTGTAAACACTGCGCATGTTATTCACAGAGTCACCCCTTTGCAAATGCAGCCTCAAAAGTTAGATTTTTTTTTTTCCCTTAGAGGTGAGTGGCTGCTCCATACTTTCCCTGGCCTAGGGCATGAGCGGCTACCCCCACTTCCCTCAGCCCAGAGGAAGACCAGAGTATGGAGATGCTGAGGCCAAGAGGTCCAGCCCAGTTGCATTCCCGGAGGCCAGGCAGGGAGAGGTCCTGTCCAGAGGAGATGGAACAAGCCCAGACCGTCCTTTGTTCCACCGTTTTCCTTCTGTCCTTGCTTTAAAAGACTCCGGCCCATCACCGGACCCAGGAACCTAAGGGGCCCGGTAACTAACGACCCTTGTGAGTTTAACCATAAACAATCCACGAGGTACAGGCGGCCAGCAGCTAGTCACCTCCGTACTGGGCTGAACCAAGACTCAAGCCCAGGTGGGCAAATCCAGAAGCTGCCCTCCATCCTGTCTACCTATGTGATAGATAAACGCAGGAGGCCGGAGGGTTTCCTGGGTCACCGAGGAGCAGTACGGCAACTTGCTTTAAGCTTAGGAACCCTTGGTTTTTGTTTTAAAGCCCACCATTTTATTTAAAGGAAAGTTTTTAATTCCAAAAGGTAGAAAGACCTGACCTTGGAATGAAGGACAGCTCGGTAGAGTGGTTAAATACGGCTTTATGAAGACCCTATGGGAAGAGACCAATGTCACTGGAATTGTGGAAAACTTGGTCATCCATTAGCACTCATCCTCAGAGAGGCTTGGGGGACTGCTCCCCACATGCCCTTGGTTTACGAAAGAGAGACCGGCCAGTCCCCTGTGACTGACAGAACACACTCCTGCTGTAACAGGGACAGGAGTGTGCGCCCAAGCTAGGGGTTCTGCTGTACGGTTTTGGGCAACTCCAAATGCTCAGTTACTTCACAGGTGCTATCAAGTTTTCAAAAACAGTGTCCGATCCTCTCCAGTTATGAGAAGTAGACACGCGCCTTGGTGTGGAAGGGAAGAAGGGAGGGGCGATGTAACATCAGGCAGCACACCACAAGTGTCCCGTGTGTGAGGGGCCCTGGACACACCCACACAGCTGCTGCCTGCACCCTTTCAGTCCAGAGAGTGGAGACCACTGGTCACAACCCCTACCGAGAGATGGATGAGCTAGCCCTCTGCGTGGAGAAGGACTGCTCCAGGCCACACACAGACTCACAGCCAGGCTCGTGGCTCTCAGACCTGTGTCCTTTGCTCATAGCACCTGGTGTCTTCACAGGGTCCTACTTTTTCTCACCTTTTTACAGAAATTTTCTCTAGAGGCAAGCACAGTGGTGCATGCCTGTAATCCCAGCACTTGAGAGGCTGAGGCAGGAGGGTTGCCTCGAGTTTGAGGCCAGCATGGGCCACAGAGCGGGTTCAAGGCAGCCTGGACTGTATAGTGAGACCCTGTCTCAAAAAACAAACAAACAAAAACCAGAAACCTGGCTCTGCTCTGTCATGAGTGCAGATTGTGGGTCAAATGGAATCACACCCTTTCTCACGCACTTACTACGGTGCCCTCGGAGTCCTTTCTAGAAAATAGGCATGATGCACCTGGGCCTGGGTGACCCTAAGGTGAATGAGATCCTATAAGCCACAGCCCAGGCTCAGCCCAGGAGGCATTGGAGAAGTGAGTGTGGTACACGGTGTGGGCTGCCCGTGCTGAGTGGAATTTCAGTGTTAAACCGGTAATGCAACGGAAGCAGATTCCATCCCCACGCCTACATCTTCCCAGGATGAGGAGCAGAGAGGAGACAGGCTCCCTAATCTGGCACCCCGGCCTCCCCTGGCCTAGAAGGGGATTTCCAAGTCAGGAGGCTGGCCTGATGTGGGAGTAGAGTGACTCAGGCAGGTGGCAGCCTCTGGCTCTTCCAGAGTGACAGCAGTGCCCATGCCCAGCCCCACCCAGAGCTGCCAGTGTTGTTTTATTTTGCTTTGTTTTAAAGCACGCGACTTCCCAGTCATTCTGCCACTCCCTCCTCCTCCACCATCTCTACTAGGGTGGCTCCAAATACACATTTGAAGGACATAAAAAATACACCCCCAAATCCACCCGTAACTGACATAGCTCTAGCCAAGTGCCAAAAGATAGGTAGAGGTTACTATTTTTGTTGTTGTTGTTTGAGACAGAGTCTTGCTATGTGGTCCAGGCTGCCCTTGAACTCACTTTGCAGCCCAGGCTGGCCTCGAACTCTGGGCATTCCTCCTGCCTCAGCCTTCCAAGTGCTGGGATTACAGGTATGTGCCACCATGCCTGGCTAAGGCTACATTTTTTTAAAAGCATTAAAAGGTAGCATGGAGTACAGTGGATCCTTGAGTTATGACTGCCTGGCATATGAATAACTTGGGTTACAACCAGAATTTTAGTTTTAACGTATGAACAGAGTCTTGAGTTATAACCCAGATGCTGGCCACTTGTGCTTCCAGATGGTCTCAGATGCAGATTTAACCTGTAAAGAGTTCTGGAAGGAACATGACAGCATCCTTTCTGGTGTGGGGTTCACTGAGAAATCCTGGACCAGGGTCTCTCTAAGGGCACTGAGATCTGCCTGTACACAGGAGAGAGACTTTGAAGGCTGTGCAGAGGAGCCTGAGCCTTCAGTTGACCAACTTGAGCTTCAACCAGCCCTCGAGAACGGATTGAGTTTGTAAATCAAGGGTCCCCTGTATCTGCTATGTACCAGGCCTGCACTTTCACACACTCTATCCCCAATCAGCCTGTGAGGTGAGCCCCATTTCACAGATGAGACTGGCTTGGAGATGTTAGAAGACTTCCAGAGCAACAGGCTCAGGGAGCACAGAGAGGGTTCTTAAACCCACACCACTGCAGCTGCAAGACACAGCACTCAGAACGCCCACTGGAGGGGTCTGTGCAAGTGACTGACCCTTAGCACACACCTGTAATCCCAGCACTAAGGGGCAGGGGCCGGGAGGACTGGGAGTTTGAAGCCAGCCTAAGCCACATACAGTTTTTGGTCTTCAAAAAGAGAAAAAAAGGGAATGAAAGCAAAAGAAAGAGAGGAAAAAAGAATTTTACTGAAAATAAATGACAAAATTAATTTTCTAATAAAGATATCAACAATAAAAGGAGAAGAAAAGAAACCATCCGGTCCAGCCTTGCCCTTGTAGGAATGGAGGCACACCGAGCCCCAGAGAGGAACAGAACTCACAGGAGCTCTTACAGTTTGTGACTAGTTTTCGGGACCAGAACCAAGACTCCTCTCTTCCTGGTGCCGTGCAGCCGTCACACAGCCACACATGGGAAAGCGGGCTTCTGGATCAAACAGGCAGGCACCTCATCCCATCAGGAGGGGGTAACCAGGTGAATGGAACGGCGGGGGGGGGGGGGGGGCGGTGACTAAGGAACCTGGAAGACAACAGTTCAGGGTATCAGCCTTGGAGACTTGAAGACAACAGTTCAGGGTATCGGCCTTGGAGCGGTAGCCTGAGGCAAGCCCAGGAATGTAAAAGCCTGCAGGGGGTGCTAGGCGTTTTCTGGGGTTGGGTGTGTATGTATATGGAAGAGAGATGTGGGTGATAGTTAAGTGAGATAATGCATATCACGAACATGATAGTGACTGAATTGGTGCCAGGTAACCAGGATTTTTTTAAATGTAAGAAATAAATCAGCAGTGTCTGTAGTCCCAGCTTCCCTCCCTTGGCCTAAGAAGGCTTAAATTCTCTCTACCAACCTCCACGGGAGGACAGCCCAGTATGTGCAACTTCTCATCCATTTGGCATCTGAAGGCAAAAGTAACCCTTTATACCCACATCCTCCCCCTCTCCCCAGAGACAAGGTGTGCACTCGGGGTCAGATAGGGCGGGGCTTAAACACAGGTCTGTGCCTCAGTTTCCTCATCAATGCCTCGAAGGCTGTAGCTGCCAGGTTCACCAGACAGTGAGGGTTAAACCCTACGGGGCTCAGCCTTGGGGGAAGGGAGCAGTGGACATCATGCCAGTTAACCCTAGGAGGCAGGAGGGATTGGTCATCTTTCCCGAGGAGGACCCGGCCCACAGCCGGGGCGGCCAGCTGGGCCCTCTGAGGCACGCTCTTCCTCCAGGCTCCTTCCTGTTTCTCCATCCCCGCGTGCCTGGCCTGCCTGTTACTCTGCGGTTCCTAGGGCACCGTGAGCAGAGAAGGGCACAGTGACATGGGGGAAATTCCCAGCCTAGTCACCCTCAAGTACAGGGCCCAGTGAGGCCCCGCCCACAGCCCCTGGGGGTCCTGGTCTCCGCTGCTCCAGCCTCGCTCCCTGCGTCCATGTGGGGCGGGCGTCAAGCTGGGTTTGGGCTGGGGTCCTGGCTTGCGGCCTCACCCTCCTGCAGGTGAGGAGAGGTCACGCCCGGCCCAGCCCTTGGCAGGCAAACCCCTCATGGGCCCTCTTTCAGTCCCACCCTCCAGTGCCCGCCTCCCCGGGGCCCTGCTGTCCCCATTCTCCCTCGGAGCCACAGCGAGCTTCGGCCTCTGGCCTGGGACTTCCTGGCCTGGCCTCTGGTCAGCTTTGGAAGATCTGTCCTGTCTGTGATCAGGCCAGTGCCCTCTGCCGGCCCAGGGCCTTGGGCTCCTGTTAAAGGTCCAACCCCAGGTCCCGTGGCCCCCAGAGCGGGAGGAGAGGTGAGGGGAGAGGGTCCGTCTGCTCAGGGCCGAGGGCAGTCCCAGCGCCCGCCCTGCTCTCC